ATACCTGGTTTGGGAAAATATTGTCAGTGTGACCATTGAATCAAAATAGTTTGCGCATATATTTAAGGCGATTGCTTAAATTTTGTCAGTACTGAAAAAATGTCATATATTAGATATGTCAAGACAGTTTAGAATGCCATTAGTTATAAATGTTAGAATAGTTCATACATATTATATGTTGCAACTTATGGCAATAGTTGCTGGTAGACTTCCGTGTAAGTGGAGGTGGAAAGTTTAACAACAAGAAGTATGTCATCTAGTGAAAGACTTTTTATAACTTTTTTTTCAGAGCAGCTTTTAAAGGCAACATACAGGATTTATATAGGGTACTTTTTTATTTCAAACATGAATTTTAGTGTCCAAGTACACAAACTGCATTCAGAGATTTTTTATGAGAAATTTTTCAGATCTTATGGCCGGGCAAATTGATTATACATTCCTTTTCACCTAGGTTGTGAAAATAAAGTTATATTTATCATTGTCACTCTTAAAAAACTGAGGAACATTCGTTTTATATCTCTGTGATTCAAAAGAATTCCAAGGGGATCTCCTTTCTCAAAAGGTGAAATGAGAATGCAAATAAAGCAAATATAAATGATATTGCTTTAGTTTGTTATATTTCTAAGAAAGTGATAGGTGATCAGTTCATTTTTATGTACAGACACAGATGTGTCTGTACATATAGCCATCACCTGCGTCTGTCGTCGCCGTCGTCGCGTCATTGCCGTCGTTGCCGTCGCCATGCACTTTTACCGATAACACGATAAGTGGAAAACCGTTTTTTCTTTTGGCTTGAAACTTACAGAACTGATGAATATTCATAATACGCAGGTCAAGTTCGAAAATCAGCATGATTGGGCCATTTTTAGGGAATTTATGCTGTTTTATAACTTTTTTCAGCATTTATGCAACACCGACAACACAATATTTGAAAAACTGTTTTACCTTTTGGCTTGAAACTTACAAAACTGATAAATATTCATAATACGCAAGTCAAGTTCGAAAATCAGCATGATCGGGCCATTTTTAGGGAAGTTATGCTGTTTTTTCACTTTTTTCAGCATT